TAAAGTGAAATCTTTTGGAAGGTGGAACCGGGCTCCAGCCTGGAATCAGCCACTGATCAGTTTCAACAGGCTGAATCTAGATGCCAGTTCTGACTTACATACAGATTCAACTTAAGAACAAACCTACAGTCCCTATCTTGTACGTAACCCGGGGACTGCCTGTACTTTGGTAAGCAGATGTATTCTATAGCTAACTGATTACTTTATTTAGGTAACAAGAGTCCTTGATCTCTAATGTGCACAATCTCAAAACAGGTTAGATACATTAATTTTTCCTTTTGTGGACAGTTGTATTTTACAGACCATTTTGCACCACTAAAAACAATTTGCTAATATTTAGTTCTACACATCACTACAATTACGCAGTAACTGATTTCTATTCACCTTTGTCCTTAAGTCTTTGATTCTATACTAGGAAACTAGTTCAGACCAAGTAAGGGATGAAACAGAGATGCTGCGTATTTGGGACCCAGTGATGAAACTTCCAGCATCTATAAAAATACCCCTGCTGATTGAGTAATGCCTGAAGAGTTTCATAGTTAAAAAGGTTATGAGTCAACTAACTGATAAGTATCCTGAAATGCCACCTAATCTTAAACGTAAAATAGCTTATGATTAGCTGGTGGTTTCTGCCACGAATTTTTTAAAAAATTAATAAATAATATTCAGATGTACAATTAGTTTCTTATAAAACAGATGTATTTTTAGAACCGTAAAACCAACTTAACTCCAACGGTATGGAAAATATAAATGTTTACTGTACTAAACTGGTTAAAATTCAATGTGTTTAGCTCATTTCTGTCACTCCAACACTTGACGCTCCTAAAATAATTCAAAGAATTAAGTGTTTGCTGAAGAGGGACAGATCATACAGTGAGATTAGCATACCAGCCATTCAAATATTACTTAACTTGCTTCCAAGAACACCTTTTGGGGATAAAGTTGAAAGATGTGTCAGGAAAAATGTTATTAGGTGTTTTTATTGGACATTGGAACTTACAACTTTCATAAAAATACAAAAATATTTTTCAAGTCAGCAGTTTTTTTTTAATCTGCATACTTGCAACTGAAGATTACAGGATCTGGGGAGAGAGCAGTACAGAGGAATACATTAGCATCTGCAAGACATTAGACACCACAGATAAGTGAATGTTTGTTGAAGTTTACAAATAGTTCACTCCCAGTTTGCACTGTTCTAGGCATTGCATTTGGGTTCATTATCAACAGTATTGGGTTACTAGTGGAAATCACCCAATGATGTGTAACAAAATGAGGAGATTTTACTGTATATCTTTTATTAGATAAGCAGGTTGAATGGTAAAAATACCACAGATTGTGTAAACTAAACCTTTTTTGGACACAACTAGAACAGTTAATTATCAAATCAAGCTAAATCTGTATATGCCAATTATAAACAGATTTAAACACTGAAGTCTGCAGTTTAAACTTACTGTTTGTTAAGATTGAGCCTAGAATATTTATATTAGAGCAGAATTTTATTTGTAAGAAAGGTGGCACAAGAAAACAACGACTGCTAGGATAGCATGTTGATTAGCAATTCATTAGCAAAGCAGCAGAAATTGAAAAGCCAAAGTTCTTTGCCAAAAGTTGGATGGAGAAACTTATAAAGATGCCTGCTTGGCAACAAAATCCTGCCCTCAAGGACATACTAGTCACCATGATTTGTATTACATGGAACCTGAAGAGCTGTCTTTAAGAATGCAGGAAACATGAGATGCCTCCCAAATTGTCCCCCAACACACCGAAGTGAAGTTTAATCAAGGGAAGAGGAGCAAGATTGAAACATATTTCTCCAGAATTATGCTACTGACTGCTGACTCAAAATTACTTACATTTTGTGATCCAAAGTAGCTTTCCTCACACAGTCTCTTTTTAGAAATCTGAATAATGTTTCAACCTAAAACAAAGTAAATCACTTAAATTAAACAACCTTACAAGTGTTATTGTAAGAGGCAGACAACATTTGTTATTACTAGATCTGAAAATAGTATAATTAGTATATCTATTCTATAATTTCACTAACATGTTCCTCTACAGTATATAGTTGCATCATATCTTAGCTGGCTTTCAGGAATCCTTACACAATATATTCTTCAAATGTTAGCCACTCAGGACAGAAGTATCAGTTTGTTGTCCCCAAGTGCATTATATTCATATTAACATTTTAATATAAAGATGCACACAAACTTTTTTTGCAGTCTGTTGTAAGCCTTATTTCTCATAACTCCAACCCACCCAAGGCTCCAGGATCAGGCTGGAGATGACCAGGTGGATCCAATCAAGGAGGATGAGGCCCACTTCTAGCAGCTGATCTGGAGGTGTGAATTCCAAGAGAATAGAAGCTGCTTTTGTAGTTAGCAAGCCATTCACAGTCTTTGTTTAATCCACAGGACTCCTCATCGCTTTTGCAGATTCAGACTAACACGGCTACCCCTCTGATACTTGAAGTCTAATTATGAGATTTTTAAATCTCTAGTTAGTGAGCTACCATCCACATTCATGACACCAACTGACTTAACTCTGAGCCTAAGATTGTTACGGATATTTATCTTCTCCCCCTTACAAAACAATCTAATACCCTTCACAAAACGTCAATCGTGAACTTTCCTCATGTCGGATCAACATGCTCAATCTCTGCTATTTGGAGTCCCACTGAAGTACTTATTTGTACAGTCCCTTACACAAAAGGGCTTCAAGTTTTAAGTGAAGCTTTTGAGTATTATCAGAATAAAGTAAAATGTCCTCATTTCCTGTGATTTGGTGAAGCTTGTGAATAACCATTCTGCAACAAAATCCCACATACTCATCTTCTAATACGAAGCTACACACTCATGCAATAAACAGGACAATTTATAGGATTTAAGTATCAGCACAGGAGACAAACATTGTGTGTTAGTTCCTTCAAGCTGAGGTGTTGTTAAAGGAAAATTTCCTACAAGGAGTGAATCTGCACCTAAAATGTAGATTGCTTTCTGCAATGATATTGACCCACAGTAGAAACGAAGTACCCATTAATAATGTTCAGTAGTACTGGTGGTTTGCTCCGGCATCTTTGAACACCTCAAAGCTTCAGAGATATGCCTCAGATAACCGTTAGGGTATTTCAATTTGTGTAGTGTTCAATCCCTGGCCTCCACTGAAAAAACTATGATGGTGGCTTTTTGGTACGGACATTTCAGTAATATGTGGACTAAAACCCATGGCATAGTCTATTGAACCGACCACAAAATTTGCTCTTCAGAACGTACAGTGGTTGACAAAACATAAGATACATTGCATGTATTCCACACGCTGAATAAAAGTTAATTAACTTGAATGTCAGAATTGAGCTAGTGCCCTAGGGAACTAAAGACTATCCAATTACCAAACAAGTCTCTGCAGTCAACTACTCCACTCCTTAAATACAGTAAAAGGTCTCCTTAAACAAAAAAGCTTAAGGAGGCTAATTTAATACATACCTATACAACAAAGCCTTGCCTTTGTTATTTCCTATTGAAAAAAATCCACTTCTGGGAGAGAAGTCCATAGACTGAGCAAGATAAATTAGCTTCTTTCTGAACACTGGGAAGTTTGAGAATACAGTAAATGAAGGAATATGTACCTATTAAGAAAAGTATACAATTAACAATTACAACAGGGTAAAATACTGTAAGTTTCCACAATTTGGAGTTTCAAAACTTTTAAAACTATTTTCAATAGCATCTCAATATACCCATTTCAAACCACTATTGTCAGAGAACATTTCATTTTAATATCAATATTAAATATCGAGGGCATTCTTTTCTGCACATGGAGTTTATTTTGGGATGACTACTCTAAAATTATACCTAGCATCACATCAGGCTTCAGAGTTCTCATAACTCTGTATTTTTCAGTTGTGCACAACATATTGGTACTAGGCATGAAGTATTTCCTTTCGGGATGCATGCGTAAGTTATGACAATGTGTTCAACTCAGATTCAAAGAAAGCTGTATTCTCTATCAGAAATCCTTTTATGGAATTCAGACAACTAAGAAAACCAGGGCCTTATGAATGGTCATTTTCTTGACACTAGCCAGCCAGGCCTTGGCTTTTTTTTTTTTTTTTTTTTTTTTTTGGGTAGGGGGATGGGAGCTATCCATTATTTTGTACCTTGGAGAATTTCAGAGTTGTCTGGAAATAGCTCAGTGGGAAAATCAGTTTTTACTACAGATTTCTAGGGTTTTCACTAACTGAAGGCCTTTTCAAGAAGGAACTTTTGTTCCACGTTAGACAAACAATATTTTGGAGAAGATTGTAGAGTTTGTTCCTATTAACCTGAACAATTATTCACCAACTCAAACGATGTAACATTTAAGGTACAATAAAGCATCAATATCTAATTGATTCAAAAGTAGGGTTTTAAACAGTTATGTCAATATATTTCTTTGAATAAAGTTGATTAACAAGAACATTGAAACCTTAGCACTGTTAAAATGAAAGCAACATAAACTTTAACTGTCCAGTAACATTATATACTGAAAGTATGCAACTAACAGGTCTGAAAAAAATCCAGTTCCATGTGTAAGATCAGAAGTATTATTGAGGAAGTGCCATCAGTCTGTAGAGAAACTATGCTTTTATTATTATTAAAACTATATTTGCAGCGTGTGCACGTTGGAAGAAACGCAGAGTTGATGTTTTGAAGGTTAAGTGACAAGAACTATACGGAGTCAGACCAAAGATCCATCTGGCCCAGTAATGTGTCTTCCAACAGTGGCCAATCCCAGGTACCTCAGAGGGAATGAACAGAACAGGTAATCATCAAGTGATCCCTCTACTGTCATCCATTCTCAGCCTCTGACAAACAGAGACAAAGGACAGCATTCCTGACCATCCTAGTTATTAGGCATTGAAGGACTACGCCTCCATGAATTAATTCAGCCCTTTTTAGAACCCAGTTAAAGACCTGGCAAGGAGTTCCACAGATCCACTGTGCATTGTGTGAAGAAATACTTCCTTTTGTTTGTTTTAAACCTGCTACCCATTCATTTCATTTGGTGACCCTTTAGTTCTTGTGTTATGGGAGCAAGCAAATGACTTTTCCTTATTTTACTTTCTCCACACCAGCCATGATTTTATAGACTTCTATCATATTCCCCATTAATCTCCTCTTTTCTAAGCAGAAAAGTGCCAATCTTATTAATCTATCCTCACAGGGCAGCTATTTATTCGCTTAATCATTTTCATTGCCTCTTTTCTAAACTTTTTCCAATACCAAGATCTTTTATGAGATGAGGTGACCACATCTGCATGCAGTATTCAAAATGTGGGCATACCATGTATTTATATAGAGGCATTAAAATATTCTGTCTTTTCTCTACCTTTTTCTTAATGATTTCCAACATTGTTTGCTTTTTTGATTGCCACTGCACATTGAGTTGATGTTTTCAGAGAACTATCTGCAATGACTCCAAGATCTCATTTTATACGTATAGATGAGATGTTTTCCAATAGTCATTGCTTTGCATTTATCAACATTAAAATTCATCTGCCATATCATTATCCAGTCACCTAGTTTAGTGAGATCCTTTTGAAGCTCTTCACAGTCTGGTTTGGACTTAATTACCTTGAACAGTTTTGTCTCATCTTCAAATTTTGCCAACTGTTTTCCCCTTTTTCCAGATCATTTATGAATATGTTGAATAGGACTGGTACCAATACGGACTCCTGAGGGATACCACAAGTTACCTCTCTCCATTCTGAAGACTGACCATTTATTCCTACGCTTTGTTTCCCATATTTTAAACCAGTTACCAATCTATGAGAGGCTCTTCCCTCTTAAGCAAAGTAAGCTGTCAATGGACGAGAGCCTTTGGTGAGAAACCTTGTCAAAAGCTTTCTGGAAATCTAAGTATACTACATCCCAGGGTTGGCAACCTTCTCAAACCAAAGAGCCAAACTATATAAAAAAAAATCAGAACAAGCAGTCAACAAAGAGCCAATATAAAAATGCCCATTAGCATGACTAAAACTATACAACTGTATTACTGATAATTGACATGATGATTAATAGCATAAATTAAACATAGTACTCAATGACTCTGTTTAATGAGACTTCTGCTGCTGCATTTTTTCCACACATTTCTTTGATGTTTACATCATAACTGGTCAAATTCAGCTTCATGCATGCATTCAGGCTGTTTTCAGTCAGTCTTGAGTGCAAGTTACCTCTGATGTGATTCAAATGAGAGATATGTAAATTCATATATAAAATTCATATATACGTGGAGCCAAACATTGAAAGTAAGGCCAAGAGGTGACATTCTGCAAACTTGGAAAGAACTTCTTGTCTTATACAACACCATGCAAAATCAGATCATCATTGTGCTCCAATTTCTTCATGTCAGTCCATTTGTACAGTTTTGCCAATTCTGCATGTTGTCGAGCAAGGCACTCTAAATCAGAATTTAGCTTGATGAATTTTTCCACCAAGATATCCAACTCCTTTGAAATCTGCTATTTCCACTTTCAAATTGCTGATAAATGCCTGGAATGACTGACAAATCCAGCTCAACAGATACTTCATGTGGATGAACCGTAAACATAAACAGAACACCGCATTTGCAAAAAAGTAAACAAAACAAGACTTGGATGCGACAAGGAGCTCCGAAACATATCCAGCAAGGTCCTGCAAATAAAGGCTGTTAATTCTCTCTCTGATACACATCACAAAACATTCATAATCTTTTGCAATGTGCTAGTCTGCCTGTCCTCAGTATCTTCGATGAAAACAGTAAATTTTGACTCATATTCATACACTTCCTGCTGCAGAGTCAGGATTGTATTTTCTTGCCCTCGTAGCTTAAGGTTCAACTCATTCAGATGACCAGTAATGTAGACAAGATAGTAAAACTTGATCAACCAGTCACAGTCTGAAAGCTCAGGATGTTTAACACCCTTCCTATCCAAAAATTACTTAATCTTGTTAACGCAGGGGGCAAAACGAGACAAAACTCTGCCAAGAGATAACCAGTGAACACTACTGTGGCATTAGTAGATCAGGGTATTCTGAATCTACTTCCTTGATCAGTGACTGAAATTGATGGTGATTAAGGGCTCAGGCAAGAATCCAATTGACAATGCAAACAAACTACGAGTCCCATTACATTTCCGAGTTTTGTGCACAATCTTGTGGAACTAAGTGCCTCCTGATGCATAATTCAATGAAAGTTCAAAAGAGGGCAGTTCAGCTGTTCTGTATTCGCAGACCATAAAAGGTGCACCGTCTGTACACGCAGACGCAAGATTATCCAACTGTATTTCTTTCTTGTTTACGATGTTCATCACCGTTTTAAGAATGTCTCTGCTCCTTGTTTTATTTTTCATTGGTAATCTCAGTCATTTCTTCATGCACAGCATTTCCACAAACAGAAAGTCCCAGAATAGACAATTGATTAACATCACATATATTGGTTGTCTTGTCCAAAGCAAACAAAAAGTAAGTAGCTGTACTCAAAGTTTGCATTCGTTCCTTGTCGATTTGATGGGCCATTTTCACAGCTCTGTCATCAACTGTTTTTGCTGATAATGGCATGTCTTGAATTTTCTGTAAAATTTTGTCTTTGTGAAACTCGTCACATAGATCATGACCTTAGCCTGCATCTCTTCATGTAATCCCCATCAGTGAAAGGCTTCCCTTCTCAAATAATGCTGTAAGAGCCTACAAAACTTGCTGAGTTTAAGCTCCCATCTTTTTTGACCATGCCAGCAGACTATTTTACCCAATAGCTCCTTGCAGGCTTTCTTTTGCACACCTCCCTCAGAGTATTTTGTAGCAAATGCTGCATTGTTGTGTCATGAAATACCATTCTAAATTTGATTTTCATTGGGGACAGTGTGGAGATCCAGGCCTATCCACAAAGTCTGTCTGCTCCTTTTGAAAATTTGAGTACTCTCTTTCTCTTTGCCATTTTTACTACTTGGGGCAACAGAGTTCACCATCACATTGATGATGGAAAGATTTCTAGACCAATCAAATAAAAGAGAATATGCACAACCCTCAATGAGTGGAGAAGATGGATGGTTGTTAAAATGAACAGTTAAAAGGTGAAAGACAAAAAAGGGCGATCTTGACATGTTTAATTATGCATTTTTAAAATTTTGAATTTAACTTTTCATTTTAAAAAATTGTATATTTTGGGATAGACAAAAAAGCCATATATGGCTCTAGAGCTGTAGGTTGCAGAACCTGGCTATATCCACTGGATTAAGGATGTCAGAGGCAGGTAGCTGACTACATGATCAGTCAAACATGTGAAGTTTAAATGTAGTAGGAGTCAGATGCGCAGGTAGACCAGCTCCTACTACATTTAATCCGCAGAGGCACAGCCGAGGTAAGTCCTACAGAGCTAGGAAGCTCTTGCTACATTTGAAATGCAGAGAAGCAGAGGTTCCAGGCCGGCATGAGCTGGGTGAGCCTAGGCCCACTGCAGGTAGAGGTTGCTTCCTGGCAGACTCCCCTACCCCCAGCTCTCCCCACTGCTTCCTCTGATCGACGCAGCGGAGAGGGAGGCAGTACCATGGAGACAGTGCTGGGGGAACCAGTTCAGGTTTCCTTCCCAGAAGCAGCAAAGCAGGTG